TATATATATTATATTTGGGACTGGCGGAGGTGCGTCAGGCCAGCAGGTCTTACCATCAATCTGTTGCTAATTATATATACTGTATATATAAGTGAAACCTTAGCATTATACTTTGTACATCTCAAAGATGTAATGTCACTGTACTAGTTCAAATCTACTACTGATAAATAATTACATTTATGCTTTTCAAAAATCTTGCAAAAAATATATATTATATCCCATTGTAAAAACTTCATTAAGCACACTTCCCTTATGAATCTCTGATGTAAGTTTCAGCAACAGTGCTTGAAGCAGTGCAGCCTCAATATTATGGTAACATTTTTGCATCATTCTTTCTGTACAGATTCAATTAAGCACCTGAGAGACAGTCCCCTGCCACTATGCACTATAATTGTAGATGACAGTGATATAAGTTATGGATGAAAGTGGTGATTTGTGATGGGCGAAACACATCTGGAGGAGGGTAATTTTAGTACATTTTAGTAAATGATCATTTAGAAACGTATTGTGTGATATTGACTTTAATTTCTCCTTTAGACACGGGTTCTTAGTTAAATATGATAGAGAGGGGATAGAGCAGGTCTATAATTACAGGATAAGCCACATTTACTATTACATGGTTGAGTAATGACTGCTTAGTGTCTGATGCTGTATTAACATAAAGAGCCTTCAACCTTACACAAGGCTCCACAATTTTATAATGCATGTTTCATCAATCAGCACAATTTAGAGCGTGAACATCTCACAGATTGTTTCTAAATCACAGTCAGGCTCGTATGGCACTGGTAAGCTCAAAGCTATTTCATGATTCATAAACTTGGTTATATTTTCATATCATGCTCACATGTTTGTTTCATGCATTCATGAATTGTACACTCTGGGACAGGCAGTAGGGACATTTGTATTCACTCAAGCTATCACATGGCCTTGTGATACACAAGGCACATCACAACACGTCTCCATCACACTGTGTGTCCTGGCAATTGTAGGACAGAACAAAACCGAAATCAAATTTCCACTGAGGCTTGTGTCAAATCACAGCTAAAGGTCACCTCTGAATTTAGTGTGCGGTCACAGCCTCCACCTCCCATGTGTAGACTGAATCAGAGGACATGAAAAATGTGATAGCGACTGAATCCCAGAAATGTGCCCCCACACAGCTGTCCTCTGCCTCTCTTGCCTAAATGATACTCTATGAAGATCGCTTTACTCCAACATTATATAATGCTTACAATATTAGTAGTTAATGTACTAGTTCACCCAAGTCACCATTTACTCACCCTCATGTTGTTCCAAACATGTGTGAATATTTCTTTTATAAGGAGAAAATTGTAATAATGTACTGGCCATTCTTTTCCACACAAATAAAATCAATAGAGAACTGGAGCTTTCAAGCTTCAAAACCAATGACTTGTGCACTATACATAACAAGTCATCTTAAGTCAAATGATAACTTTATATGAGGAAAATAAATTCACTGATAATCTTCAAGTGCGTTGTTAACTTTTATGCAACAAAATCATTGGACTTGAACTTCCCATTTGTAAACAAATCATTGAAAGACGTTATGACTCAAACAAAACAAAACAAAACAAAAATAATTGAAAATTCTAAGTTCTGACTCAAACAAAACATAAGACACAAAAAGCAAAAATAAAACAAAGCAAAATACAACACAAAACAAAAAAGCAAACAAAACAACAACAAAGCAAAAAAAAAAAAAAAAAACTTTTTATACAATTAGAACTCTCAAAGAGTTTTTCAGTGAATAAATTACATTTCAGGCATCAGAAGACTTTGAATATAGTGCATAATATGGACCATGTTTATGATGTTTTTCGTCATTTTGGAGCTTGACAGCCCCAGCTCTGATTCACATTCATTACATTGTAAAAAGGCCAGGATATTCTTAAAAAATTTAAATAAAGTCATATGAGTTTGGAAAAACATAAGAGGCAGTGAATAATTACCTAATATGTTAACAATTAGTTTATATAAAAAATTATATTTATGCTAGTAATAAAATGTATTAAGCATAAGCAGGGTAGTCTTTATGACACTGTTAACACCTAATAGTAGACTATACAGAATTACTAAATCATGTATAAAATAGTGTGTTCCAGGATAATTGTTGGGTATCATAAATGTTGGCACCTTTTACTGCTCAAAGCAAACATTTATGAGCATAATAACAATCCTACACCATGAGCTCGGCATGTCAGGGTGATTCACTGTCAATTTAACCAGCCTTTAGAAATGCTTTCTTGCCTGTAACCTGCCGGCAGATTAAACAGAAGTCTTTATGTCAATAACCTATCAGCATATTGACCGTTTTTATGGTGCAGCACTGATTGGAATGGTTCACTGGAAAACTGTTTCTGCTTTCTGTGATGCTGAATACAAGGAAAAGACGTCCATGGGAATAAACATTGAAGTCATTAGTTGATATAAAAAAAATGGAAGGACTCAAGAATAAGAAATAATGTGCTAATATTTCAGAGGGTTATCTAGGATTTAGTTCATCAGGCTTTAGGAGCATATTTCTCTGCTACGACCTGTGCTAACTGTAGCATACTGAAATGTTTTCAAAATGCAGTAAACAAAGGAAGAGGATGAAAAGCATTACAAGAATGAATATTTCATATGTACATGAATTATTAATATTATCCCTCCAAAAATGTCATAAGAGAGCGCACAACAAGCTCTTTGCTTTAAATTAAATAATCACTTTAAACAGATTGTTTTCCCCCCAGAGCTATAAACTTAAGGTTTAGCGGAGACAAAAAAATAAAAAAATAAAATCCATGGGGCATGAAAGTTACCTAAATCAAAGGATAAACTTCTCTTATACCCAAATGCACTGAGGTATTAGAAAGGGTGAAACGTGGATCCAGCTTACTGCCTCATATCAACATGTCAACCATCTGAAATATTTTGGCCATCAATTTATTGTGCCTTTTTTAGGCAGCATTTCATTTTATGTCTTTAACCTGCGCAGGGAAGAATAAAAGATCAAGTCATGCTGAAATGAATGAAATTACAATAATTAGTCATTTTAGCATGTGCACTCCTCTATGCATCCATCTGCCTCTACATTGCTAGTCTGTAGGGCCTCCCTGTGGTGAAGACAGAGAATACACATCAGATCTGTTTCTCCATACATTTTTTTTGTCAATCTCCTAAAAATTTACTTAAGGTTAATGAAGTATATAGAATTACACATCAGTCATATAATGCATATATAATTATTTTAAACCATGGTTAGGGTTTTACCAAGAAATATTATTTAGGTGCAAATTAAAAAATAATCTTACGTCTTTTCATAAGGTAAACTCTGAAATACAAGAAATACACGTAACTGAAGTTCAAAATAGGTCAGACTGCAATATGCATGTTCAAACACTGTAATTCTCCATGACGAAATTGGCCTTTGAAAGGCTCAGCACAGAAAATCTATTTTTGAATCCATCCATTCCCTTTCCTGCACTGAGTTCCTGTGGGAGGGCCACTATAAAGCATGGGAAAGTTCCTTTCCCTCACTTGTTTCTTTTTCTGATTAAACGGCTGGGCTTCGATCACAAGGGCTTATAAAACTCTCAGCGGTAGAATCTCCTCACACAGATAACAGACGATAAACATAAAACAGGGTTGACAGGTAAGAGTGTTCATATATGATAAACTAGTTCAGTCAACAGTGAAGCTACGAAATATTTAATTGTGCTGCCATGATAAAATAAATTTACCCAACAACCAAATTAGGTTATTTAATCTTTGACATATATCATTGTGAATTCAAAAAATGTAAAGTTTGAAATGCTCTTTATTCGAATATACATGAACTTCTGAACTGCTGTATATAATATTTGTTATTGACTTTTTATTGAATATGATTGAAAACACTACCCCTTTTTGTTATGGTTTTAGTTCTGATTGTAAAAGTGTATGTGTGTGTATATACTAATATATATATATATATATATATATATATATATATATATATATATATATATTCTTACTGTAGACTATATATGTTCACAATAGTCAAGAAATAATTAAAAAAAGAAAAGAAACTGAAACATGAAATTTTCTTAAAAAGTTAGAGACATTTCTGAAAACTGTTTAGTGCTGCATGATAAAGATGAATACAAAATATCTGTGAACTAAAGTTCCTAAATTCATATTTCATTGTTATACAAGACATAACTACATCAGACAGTTCCTCTGGCTACATCTATTTAAGATAATCCCATTTAGCCATGACACAAAAGTATTTCTTAGAACAATGTTAGAAGTTTAGAACAGATCTGCCCGGTGTTCATGTAAGCAAACACAAACAAACCAAGCCTCCAGCCAAAATAAATTAGAAAATAAATAAGAAAACACAAGGAAAGTTTGCTATTTAGCAGCGTTGATGGGATGTTTACACAAATGTGAATCGTTTTAAGTGGGAATGCTGTGGGCCATGCATCCCATGGGCTTTCTGTGAAAAGAGATGGGCTTTCTCGTTAGAAGCACACGCTTGATTACGCATTATTAAACTCTCTGTCCATGATGACTAACTCTCATTGCGCAGGGGCCAGGGTCGGTCATCCATGCTCTTTTCTCTCTAGTACTGTTAAAAGGGTAATTTAGCTTGATAACTGGTATTATCAATACCGATATGTATTTTAATGTAAATGCAGATATCTAATTAAATATTATTACATTATTTCCTGTGCTTTTTATTTATACATTACAAATAAAACACTAAAAACTAAAACCAGATATGTGCACTACAAGTCAGTAGGCATCACAACATTATAATGAACAATGGATATTAATTTTGAGATTTACTAATAATTACATTTAAAAGCTATTACATTTTTATTAGTGTTTTTAGGTGATGGCAAATGTAATCAGAATAGAGTAAATAAGCCTGCACAAATAATTATCCAATGTTTGACTGATACCAATATATAAAAAGAAAAGAAAAGAAAACACTAATATTTAGCTAATAACTAAATAATATATTGTGCATCCCAATATAGTATAATTCAAAAAGTATGTTGCCAGATGCAACCTGCTTCAGTAATTGAAGGAGAAATGAAAAACAGAATCAGCCTTTTCCCTATTAAATCCGGACAACCTGAATGATCAGAGGCATTATTCTTTGAGGTGGTCTTAAGAGTGACTCATGCTGTCTACCTGGATAATTTAGAGGAGAATCAGTGATTCTATATATGACTAACATTCTCAAGCCTGTATTTCTGCCTGTGTAGAGGATGTCCAGAGCTGACTGGGGTTTTCTGGAGCACCTGCTAGAGGAAGGTCAGGAGTACTCGACTGGTGTGGGGCGCGTGTGGCTAACCGTGCTCTTCCTCTTCCGCATGCTTGTGCTTGGCACGGCGGTCGAATCTGCATGGGACGACGAACAGTCTGACTTTGTCTGCAACACCAAACAGCCTGGCTGTGAGTCTGTCTGCTATGACAAGGCCTTTCCCATCTCCCACTTCCGTTTCTTTGTTCTGCAGGTCATCTTCGTCTCAACACCAACCATTTTCTACTTTGGCTATGTGGCCCTGAGGACTAGAACTGAAAAGAGTCTGGAGGAGAAGCCGGAGGAGGAGGGCAGAAGACAGAGAAAAACCAACGAGTTTAAATTGGAGGTAATAAAGGAGGAAGATGAAGAGAGCGAGGAGAAGGAAAAAGAGAAGAACCACAGCGCTCCAGGACCTCCAAAGCTCAAAGGGAAACTGCTGTGCGCTTATGCGACTAGCATAGTGCTAAAGGTTCTCATTGAGATTGGCTTCATTGTGGGTCTATGGATCCTTTATGGGTTTGTAATCGAGGCAAAGTATGAGTGCGAGAGGTTTCCCTGTCCTCACACAGTGGACTGTTTTGTCTCACGACCCACAGAAAAAACAATCTTCACCATATACACGCAGGTCATTGCTGCGGTCTCTGTTCTCCTCAACATTGTGGAGCTTCTCCATCTGCTTCAGCTAGCAGTAACACATCGACTAGAGAAGAGGTATCAAAGCGAGGAGGAGATTAATAAACTTATTAGGGTGACTTCTTCTAGAACAGCACCAGCTAAAGCTCAAATACCATCGTTTGAGGAAAGAAACCATCTCTTTCTTCCTGTAGCACATGATGGCTACCCTGCATCAGGGTTGGACTGGGATAAAAGAGATCCTCCTTTAGCGGAGGACATGCTTCCTAGCTACTCAAACTGCATGAGCAATGTGAAACCTGCCACAAACAAAAACAATCTTCATAAAAAACACCACAAAACTGAAGACAAACCGAGACATTATGTGTGAGGACCACTAAATGAGACCCAAGGACTACATTTTGGGGAACTACATGTGTAAATGACTGTTAGTGGTTTACTGTACATTCGAGAGCCATTTCCTTTGTTTAGATAGGCAGAGAAATGGTCTGTGCCTTGGGATTGGCAACTGTCTTTTGTGATCTATGGCCAGATACGGGAGCCTCTCAAGTAGTGATTAGTTTTGAGAAGCTCAAGGTCAGGAAATACTCAAACCACTGAGCCTAAGAGAAACAAGCACAATGTCTAGAAATATCTAGTACTGAACTTAATGATTGATATGGTACAACTAAGGTAGTTCATAATGTACAGCATTTGAGACAAGAATCAAAGTTAAACCATACCAACCAACTGTATATACAATATTGAATGAGTATTTATGAATTATTTTATATTTGATTTAATATTTATTTTCATTAAAATTCTTCTATTTTTGGACTTCTGAAATGATTAGGTCTTTGTTAGTTAGGTCGATATATACAGTATTCTGCAGTATAGTCGTTATTAGCGTTCAAACTAAAAACAGTTACACCGCTCTTACATTAAAAATAAGGTGGACAGACAAAACCGCAATACAACAAGTAATTCAAATGCTTTAAACTTTGTTTGTTTTTTGTTTCTTTTCATATTATCCTTAATTATTAAGATTATCAGTCAATTATAGTAATTGTTAAACAGAAGTATAACAAAATAACTGCATTTTACAACTGAAGCAGCTGCCATTTCAGAGCTGAGTGTTTGTATGACGTTGCAGCGTTTAGGTGGCACAAGTCGGCACTCTTAGAAAATGGCATCTTTACAAATTGTAATTACAAGTACTACAAGGATGTGAACAATGTAACTTGTAATTCAAACATGCCGTGTATGAACCTATATAGCCAATTGGGCACGTTTATTGGAAAAACGTGCATCTATATTTTCGCAAAACTCCAAATACGTAACTATGAGTGTACGTACAACAACCAACGCAACCCAACCCAAGAATAAATTGTTGCCAGATTCACGTTCATCTTTTTTGGAAAAAGCTAAACGTGGTTTTAGCTACACTCACAGGACATATCACATTCAAAATATTAATTCGCAGACATTTTGACACAGGCATGTTTAGGTTTTCCCAATGAGCCTGGGTTATATAAAACTGCATTATGCAAACTGTGTAACTACTAAAGCGATATACAAAGTGAGCAGTTGTTCCCTAGTAAACACTTCATAAATACACTTAAAACATTAAAATATTTATATGAACAAATAGGGACAACAATTCATTGCCTCACACTGGTGTTATTTGTTGGTTGTTTTAAAATATTTCAACATTTTTCAGAGTAGATAGCCTTCCGATATCATCAAGGCCTTTACTTTCCTGTCTGGGCATGAGTACAGCACATTCCACAGCAGTCATTTTTAGCAATTTTGAGCCGTCCCAACAATGATAAGCACTTATCTGTAGCAGGAAAAGATGGAATGACGGGTAATTTACAAGGTGGGGCAGTTTCTTATGGAAAGGGTCAAATCAAAACAATACAATGAGAATAAGAAAAAATAAACAGTGCTTTTTCCCCTCAAAAGGTATGTTTTGCTGGCTAATGGAAACTGTGTTTTATTACAGGGCGTTATCTGCGCAGTTAGGCTCCAGTCTATGAAAGATTAATGAATCTTGTGCTTGTGGGGTTGCCAACCATAACCTGTAGTGTTTGCCCAATGCATAGTTCTCTCTATCGCAGCTGGCCTGCACGAAAGGTTAGCCTGTCATCTCTTGCCAATACAAGGCTTTAGAGGTGTTACACAAGATGTGTGGGTCAGCAAACAGCTGGTGAGGACTGACTTCTTTAGTTCCCCTCAACAAAGACAAAGACGGTGAACGGGAGACTGATTGGTAGACTGTCAAACTCTCTCCATCTGATAGAGCCGTTTAGTTTGGAAAAAAGCCCTTGTTCTGCAGTGTTTTCTTTTGTTTGTCTTCAGCCTACCACCTACAAAAGCTGAATCGTGCCAGCTGTGCTTTAATATGCCCACACATGCATCAAATAGACCAGCAAAGTTGATTTAACCAGGCAAACAGATGTATGTCATTTTAGATACGAAAAAAACAAAAGTCATGGATGCCTGCTCTCTTCAAGCTATTATGAGGTTACTTTGCTGAATACAGTCACAAAGGTCATTCAATTTGTGAAACCCAGCAGGGACACTGCCTGCCCGCATACCCTTAGGTGATTTACACAGAGTAGCACCAATGAAAATGAGCTGCCACTCTTGCGGGTCGCTTCCTGCATCCTGATATTGTTGTTCCAAACGCTGATACATTTCCCTTTCCCTGCGTACCAGCCTCAGACAGGAAAAACAAACAGGTTTTAAAGCACTCTATGAATGGTACGTACCTTAGATACTGCAGTCTGTGTTAGGCTCTGAGGTGTGTGGGTGTTTTCTGGATGAGCGGTGGCTACGAGTGGCCAGTCAACCTGCTTCCCATGGGGACTTAAGTTTGAGTGCCAAACTTCTTTCTGTAGGGGGTCTGAAGGCCGCAGTATCAGGCAAATATGCCAATGTATGCAGTGCAAAATGGTCACATGTACTTCCTGCCAGCTGAACTGATTAAAAACCATGTCTTCTCAGTGATAGCCATAACAAGAAGTCAAAAAAATCTACAAAGGGACAACAGAGACCTAAAAAAACCCCACAAGAATGTCATTGAAAATCAGTGTGCTTGTGGAATGTTAAGAAATTACACTACCATTCAAAAGTTTGATGTCGGTAAGATTTTTAAAAATGTTTTTCCAAGAAGTTTCTTATGAAAACATATTTTACATATTAATAAAATGTCTTTACTGTCTCTTTTGATCAATTTAATAGGCAAAATAAAAGTTCTAAAAATTGTTCTAACCCCAGACTTTTGAATGGTAGAGTCTTTAAAAACATGGTAAGATTAGACATGGTTAACATGGTTAGATTCGACATTAGTTAAAGGGAAATTCTGTCACTATTTCTTCACCTTTATGCCATTTCAAACCTGTATGACATTGTTTCGTTGTGAAAGATATTTGGAAAATGTCTTTTGTGTTACAGCATTTACGTTAAGTAACAACCATTACAACTGAAGTGTGTTGGTTCATAAAACAAATGTCAGGTGTCAGGTGGTCTAAAGAACTCACAGTTAACTCAATCCTTAATTTAGACAACCTGGAGGAAATAGGCTGTATCTGTTTCCTGATTCTTCCATTGGTCACTCCAGGCATTGGCTGTGCAGGCTTGTTCAGCCTTACAATGGCCCAGCGGTGGACATTGTTACATTGTTTTTGGTAAAATCCCACCTGCAGCAGTTCCAGGATGTCATCAGCTCTTCAAACTGTGAATTACGTGCAAGTACAATACTAAATGAAAGTATTTTACAATGAAATATATTTCTATACAATAGGAATGGTGCTTACCTGCATAATTGCCAATACAACATGTTGCCAGAGTGTTTTTGATGGGTTTTAGTGCATTGCTATATGGCTGCTAGGATATTTTAAGCAGCCCACCACCAGTCTCTACGATATTCTGTACAGTATGGCTTGGGTCACTCAGTGCTAGTCTATGAGATTTTCATGACATCATCATATGAACAACTCATCTCAGAGAGAAACAGATGAGTCAGAGCACATTGCTTTTTAATCTAGATAAGGAGCAGGGGCCCGTTCTTCGTACGTCGCTAACTCAGTTAACTGGATTTGATTGTTGACGATTTGGCATGATCTTGAATAGTTTGGTTCTTCGAAGCTCATCCCAGAGTTGCTGTCATAGCAACAGGTCCGTAAGCTTAAACCTGCTTGGGAGCAGGCTTGTTTCATGTAAACAGGATTAGATGGCATCTTTTTAAGCAGAATTGATACTTAAAATCTGTCCGTTACCAACGCTACTTTATTACAAGAGTACCCCACTAATCCATGGACAATAATTTAAAATGATAATCATTTAAAAATGTATTTAAAGATAATATAATAATGTTGTGTGGTCTTTAATACTATAGACACAGCCAGTTTTACTCACTGAGAGATTTATTCGTCATAAAATGATACTTCCTAACTGTATTCGAGTCTTACGCACATGCTATACAGATAATGTAGAGTCGTGCATTAATTTGAGTGATGAAAGATATTATGGGAGTGGCAGATATTATGAAGCTTTTCGTCAGGTGTCTTTTTTAATTATATGATGTCATTACGTTGCTGTCTTGCCGCCATGCAGCCAATCGCTGCATTGCTGATCGTGGTTTCGAGTATCGATACATAGCCCCTTTTATACCAACCCATGAATGCGCAATTATCTCAGATAACTCAATCCAGCCATTCTAATCATCAGCAACAGCTGCGTTCGAAGAACCGAATTAGCCAGATCCTGATTAGCGCGATGATATCATCTTGGATGTGACATTTCATCTCGGATGAAATAAGCGATGTACGAAGAATGGGCCCCTGATCAGATAGTACACAGTCATACAAGACAGAATTGATTCTGAAGACAGATCATTGTTAAAATAACATCCCGACTATGAACCATGACTCAGGTTTCAAGTTTAAGCAATAATGAAACTGATGAAAAACAACGTCTAATGCTCAAAATATCAGGGATTTGTGGCAGGTTGTCAACCTTTAATATTACTTTTTCCTTGACAAATTCCACCATAAATGTAAACATATCAGTATTAACCATCAATATTTGAACTTCATGATTATTTTTTGCCAGTAATAAACAGGAATTATAATATCTCCAGGATGAGATTTTGTATTATAAAAACAATAATTCTAATGAAATACAATGCCTTGTCCTTAAAAACAATCAGGAACTTCTTGTGGTATTTTTCTAAGTGGTAGGACACTTATTTTCACTTTTCACAGTTAGCAAATTATCTGGAATGGGACAATGGGCTATTGATAAGACCCTAGGGGGCCATATTGGGGGAATGGAAGTCAGTTTCTAACTATCTAAAAAGGTTCAAAGGGGGACAGAAGTAACTGGTTGTGGGAACTGAAAGTTGAGCCCATAGGAAGGGGAGGATTTTGAGCGTATCTCCATTGTTTCTGTCGCTGATGAGAATCTACAGTGAATAATTATGTTGTAATTGTGCAGAGAGGCTGTACACATCCTGACTGAAGGGCTGAGAGAGGCCAGCAGGCGTCGTTCCTTCTTCCTATCACTCAGGAACAATAGGGCTGTTTGTCCTCTGGGACATACTAGCACCTTTCCAGCACCAAACCCACAGTCTCCTACCTGGTAAGGCACAAACAATCCAGACAGCACATCCTCTCTCACACAACTACTGGATGTATGGGAATAGGAGTACCTGTACAAATACAGCCAGTCATATGACCCACATGTAGGCATGACATTCTCGTTAGGCTGCATAAAAAAAAAAAAATTACAGACACAGTCTGAGCGAGCAATCACAATGACTGCTTTCATTGGCCCATAAATGTAAACATATCAGTATTAACCATCAATATTTGAACTTCATGATTATTTTTTGCCAGTAATAAACAGGAATTATAATATCTCCAGGATGAGATTTTGTATTATAAAAACAATAATTCTAATGAAATACAATGCCTTGTCCTTAAAAACAATCAGGAACTTCTTGTGGTATTTTTCTAAGTGGTAGGACACTTATTTTCACTTTTCACAGTTAGCAAATTATCTGGAATGGGACAATGGGCTATTGATAAGACCCTAGGGGGCCATATTGGGGGAATGGAAGTCAGTTTCTAACTATCTAAAAAGGTTCAAAGGGGGACAGAAGTAACTGGTTGTGGGAACTGAAAGTTGAGCCCATAGGAAGGGGAGGATTTTGAGCGTATCTCCATTGTTTCTGTCGCTGATGAGAATCTACAGTGAATAATTATGTTGTAATTGTGCAGAGAGGCTGTACACATCCTGACTGAAGGGCTGAGAGAGGCCAGCAGGCGTCGTTCCTTCTTCCTATCACTCAGGAACAATAGGGCTGTTTGTCCTCTGGGACATACTAGCACCTTTCCAGCACCAAACCCACAGTCTCCTACCTGGTAAGGCACAAACAATCCAGACAGCACATCCTCTCTCACACAACTACTGGATGTATGGGAATAGGAGTACCTGTACAAATACAGCCAGTCATATGACCCACATGTAGGCATGACATTCTCGTTAGGCTGCATAAAAAAAAAAAAATTACAGACACAGTCTGAGCGAGCAATCACAATGACTGCTTTCATTGGCCAAAAAAAAAAACTAAACAGAATGACCCAAGGGGCCTCTGAAAACTTCCAAGGGGGCCTCAAGATGTCTTAAAATTATTTAAAATGAGACAAAACAACTAACTTCTTAAACTGTAAAATTCTGTATGATGTAGCCTAATTTTAAAGAGTGATTACTAGATTTGGAATAATAAAATCCCATAACTTTGTGGGCATTTTTGAATATAATAAATATTTTTGAATGTCATGTGTAAAATAGTTGTAGCATTGTCAAATGGCATAATGAAGTGTGGTGTGGTCACAACTGGTGCATGTACTTGGATAAAAAAAATAAGAAAGAAAGAAAGAAAGAAAGATGAATGAAAAAAAGAAAGAACATGCATTTAGGTATGTCAAGCTCTAAAATATTGGGAAGAAACTGTGAATAAAAATATTTTAAAAAATCTTAATCACAAAACAACAGGAAAATATCATGGAGCCTTTGAATACTGTTGTGGGGACTTGAAGTCAAAGTGACATTAAAAAGTGTGGCATTAGAAAGTGACAGACACATTTTCCCTAAAATCGGCAAAGAAATCAACACAGGCAGAATCAGTTAAATGTGAAGCAAAACTTACATTGCATTTACAGTGATGTAAATGTTTTAGGGCGGACTTCAAGCCATTCACTGAACTCAACTGAAATATTGCTTCTAATATAACCTTTTATAGAAAACTGTTTTAGGCAGACGAGCCGCCGGTGCCTGGTATCAGCATTTATGCACTTTGCTGATGTAAACCTAGATCAGCACTCATAAAGTTTCACTTTCACTGCTTGTTGGCAGCAATGAAGCACAACTTATGCTGGAAAATGTTAGGGTTACTTCTATTAAGTACACTCTGGGGATTTGTGGTCTTGCTCTTCTGGTTTCCATTAATCAAGCTGTGTGCTGAAAGAAAAAGAATGTTCAGCATAGAAAACAGACCATACATCTGTCCTTCGAAATCATAGAAGTCAATGTAAAGGCATTACTATTTTTTTAATAACAGGGAGAACTGTTTGAAAACACTTTATAAATCTATAATGCAGCAATTACACAATTAACTTAAAATATTGACACCATGCCAGTTTCTGTGGCTATTTCCGTGGTGAGAGAAACTTAAATACATAATGTTTTAAAATATATTTTTACTAAAAACTCTCAAATTAAACTGTATTCAGTTTAACTTAAAAAAATCATTTCAAAGTGTTAACTGATTTAAAAAACACTAGTATTTTCACCAGCTAAAAATGGTTTTAAGTCAATTATTTCTATCTTTTGCTGTAGTGTGTCAGTAGGAAATATCAGTTTACATTTCCAGACATTCATTTTGCAATTAATTGTAATAAACCAGTGAGATTTTTGTTTGCACAAGGAGTCTGACAGCAGCCTGTGCTACACAAAGAGATCTGATCTCTTCATCATCCAGTCTGTCTGAGATTACATGAAGAAACAGAACAAACTGAGACAGACTAAATCCAGATGCTCCATGATGCTTCAAGAGACCTACCTGCAAAGCTACAGTAGGCACTTGTGTAAAAATGCTGTAAAATGAGGAAGCTACCAAAATAATGAATATATCATTAATATAGTTAATTAAAAATAAATAGATTTTCTTTATCAATTAACTTATATTAACTCAATTAAATCAACATTTGGTGTGACCATCCTTTGCGTTTAAAGCAGCTTTCTCTTGCGCATAGTTTCTCAGGTAGCTTTGCAGGTAGGTGTCTTGAAGCACCTTGGAGATGTTGTTTTGTGTTTGTTATGTTTTCTTTATGATATATGTGCAAAATTCACACAAGTTGGAAAGAACATCTGACAAACCCAGTGCCAAAATTAAAGTGTGTCTGTACATTTATTATATGAACACAAGGCAGCCTCCCACACACTTCAGCACAAAAGTTAGATGTGCAATTATCACTGACAGTTTAGCCATAACAATGCGTAGGAAAGCAATACTGTACATGGGTAATAATCTCTGCAACAGTACGAGTTCACTGTACTACTGTACATGTAAAAGGACTCAAAACCACAGATAATTGGTTTGAAATTCCAGCTAAACCTTCCGGTAGACGTCTGCATTCCCGCGGCTACCGACCAGATTTTGGTAGCGGTCAGTAACTTTGGTGTAATTTGAACGGGAGCGGGCGGTCTAACAATATCCCGTTCCCGACGTCCATTCAGAACAGCTTATCTGCGCTTTATTTTTATTGACCACCGGTACATCCTGCACTCAGACTGTTATGCACGCGCTGCACGCATGCTTTCTGCGTCATGCGTTTTATTTGCGGGGTCTGTGCGCAGCATGTGCATAATGATGCTCAGAGCAGGCTGTACCGGTGGTAAATATATGGCCCTCAGACAGAACAGGCAGGTTGTCGATGAGTGACAGAGCAGAATAAGGATGGAGCAAAGTGTGGATGCGCTGTCCTTGAAGGACGTTCAACTCGGTTTTGTTTATATTTTGCTTAGCCTATAATTTTAAATGACAGATGTCGTATTTATTTATTTTTCTCTGCGACTTTCCTACTGTTAACAGAAAAATGTCAATTATTTTTTTTTTCTCTCTCTCTGCGACACTTTTCCCTATTGTGTTGTCAATGTTAAATGAATTGGATCCTGACAAGACGAATAAAAATAAGAAATACAATTTTTGTACAACATTTTTATTTTCTCTGACACTTTTTTTTCTACTGTGTTGCATAAAATATTAAACGAGTTTTGTGTCTTAAGATAATTCATATAAATTCAAGTCAAATTAAAAAAAAATTAATAAAAATAGTCCTGTGCAGACCTCTACCTTCCGGTCCAGATATTCAAAGTGTGTGCAGAGTACTTACATGAACCGAATAGGACACCGAGGCAAAACTTGCCTTTCATTTCTCACTATTCACTGTGTTCATTATTACTAATTAGCAAATGACCACAATGACAGAGCTTGTTGTATGTATTTCTCAGTGTTCTGAATCGCTTCAGCCACTCAAAGTTCAAACGTCTCAAACATTTTCTAGTCCCACTCAAGTGTTGCCTTGCATAGATGCACTTTATTCACACAAACAAAAAACTTAACAAAGGTGGTCTTTCTTTGAGCTTCAGTCTCATAAGCATATGACAGGGAGCACGAATGGAAAACTTATTAAAGCTTTCCAAGTTAGGACTTGTGCGATATAGTCATGTGTCTGCATGCCTAAGGGCAGAAGATGAATATTAAGAAGACTCAAAAATTTCTCTCAGCAATCAAGTTCCTCCAGCCGGGCTGGTAAATATTACAGCAAGACTCCATGTAATTAGGGTGGCAGAATGAAGTGACAAAGGAATGGGTATGAAATCCAACAAAAAAAAGGTCGATTTTTTTTTCTTGATTTCTGATCAAGTTCCCGTCCCTGGGGCCGTTGAGTGTGACAAATGAGCCCAAAGTTTGAGAAGTTGCACATCATTATATGGTGATCTTGCAGGACTTCATGCCATTTACTAAAATTTAGCTCTTCTCTGGTCGGTTTCTTTCCAGCACTGCTCTTGGTGTGAATTCCAGTTTGTCCTTGAGGCTGAGAACCAGTGTGCTGTCCTGACCGGTCAGTTCCTCTAATTTCCTATCCTCCCTTAGCTCTGCAATGCCCCTCTCTTCTCCTGGGGCGTTAGGAGTTCCCCGGATAAACCACTCAAGGTGGTATCCAACAGCCCCCACCACAAAGGCCACTGGGAAGGTCACATAGGGCACATAAGTGCGCATGGCAGTCCAGATCACTGGCCACATGGCTGCATAAACCTGAAAAAGCCAGTCCAAGTTCTAGAAGGTTATTTACCTTTGGCAAGCTGACAGTGTAGCCTTATTTTCGTTATCACCAGCGACAAAATCAAGGACTACTTATAGACAAATGCTTTCAAGAAGCTAAGGAACAATGTGTTAATATATACACATATATATATATATATATATATATATATATATATATATATG